GAAGAATAGGTGAGTTTATATGATGAACTGCAGCCTACACTAAAGTATTTATTGTATTTGCATATCAACCGTTTCTCATTTTATGTCTTTAGGGGTTGGTGGACACCAGTTTTATTTACAGCTGGTTTAACATCTGCAAAGTTCTTCATGGAGCATGTTTCAAGGCAAAATACTCTCACACAGGCTCGCAGGAACATCTCTAGGCATTATGATCTGGTATAAATATCATTAACTACAAAGTTTCATAGAGTCAGTGACTTTCAAGGAACAAGTTGCAGCAAGTACATATAATCCATCAATATAAAGTAGTGTGAGCATATAAATAGTTATGCACAATCACAAAAATGTTAAATGAAATATTCTTTACCTAAAAAGATGGTTCATAATTGAATTTTGAAGCCGAGGTTTGCTTTGAAAATGTATGTATCTGTTGAAGGAATAATGAAGAGGCTCGGAATAGGAATTATGTTACAGACAGTAGTTATACATTGTTAGGAGATCTCCTACATACATGAGTAACCTGGGGGTATGTATATCTTCATATGGTTTGGATCTTTCTTTTGCCTTGATGTAACTAGAATAGAGAAGAACTCAATGCACCTGTTACAGTTTATAGATTGTGAATAGCATACAGAGTTTGAGATACCACTAGATGTCAGCTAGAATGATTGCTTGACAAAGAAGTGTTATTGGAATTCTTAATTGCTCTCCTTTTGTCATTTTATACCGCATGGAACTTTTTCTAATTGATCTTCAGTATCTTTTCCTTCAATGATTTTTTGAGTGCTGAAACTAAAACAACAGAAGCTTACAGTTTTTCTTTGGTCTGTTTCTAGAGCAATGAACTCTTCGCACTTTTCTTGGATGAAACAATGACATATTCATGTGCAGTGTTCAAGGCAAGAATAACAGCTGTCTGGTGCTTGAGTCCAAATTTCATGTAGAAGATATTTCTCCTTTAATTTCTGCAGTAGCACTGGTTAATATTTTTCCTTTGATTCTTTGTTAAATTATTTGATAGAATGAAGATGAGGACTTGAAAGATGCACAAATGAGAAAAATCTCTCTTCTGATTGAAAAGGTGAGTGCCTTTGATTGCTGTTTTATTACTATTTTAGTTGTTATTTTTCTAAAGGTCTGATATCATTTTTTGTTAAATAAATCAAGGCTAGAATAGATAGGAAACATGAAATTCTTGAGATTGGTTGTGGATGGGGAAGTTTAGCCATTGAAGTTGTCCAACAAACTGGCTGCAAATACACCGGTATCACTTTGTCTAAGGAGCAACTGAAATTTGCAGAAAAGAGAGTTAAAGATGCTGGGCTTCAGGTATTAACAAGCAAATTTTTTTATGATTTGATGAACTTTTTAATATAAAATCTGATGGATTCCTTGTAAATTGAATATAAAAGCTAAATGAAATTGATTCATGTCAGAAATTAAACCTCTATCTTTATTTCTTTGTTACTGTGTTATTGCAATATTCCAGTACTTCTCATTCTGCAGGAGAGATTTGTTGCATCTAATATACATGTGAACCTAAAATATCATGAGCGAATTCATGCTAAATGCTATACTAATTCATGATTCCAGGACCATATAAAATTTCTTCTGTGTGACTATCGCCAATTGCCCAAGACATACAAATATGATAGGATAATATCTTGGTGAGCTATTTTTCACTTTAATTTTGCTGACTCATGTACAATTGCTATATTTCCATCATATTTCATAACCTGTAATATCATATTTCAGTGAAATGATAGAAGCTGTTGGCCATGAATTCATGGAAGAGTTCTTTGGTTGTTGTGAATCAGTATTGGCAGATGATGGGCTTCTTGTTCTCCAGGTATTTGATACATTATTAAACTGTTATTTTACCTTGGTTCTATATGTATAATTTCTATGCAATGATATGTTATAAAACTTTCTAGAGGGCATGCTAATATGTAATTAAAATAGTCACTACAAGTACATTCTGTTGGGTATTCAAATTGCTGCTAACTATTGAAGATGGTTATCTTGCCTTACAGTTCATATCAATCCCAGATGAACGTTATGATGAGTACAGGCGCAGTTCTGATTTTATAAAGGAATATATCTTTCCAGGAGGTTGCCTACCCTCTCTAAGTAGGATAACATCAGCCATGGTAGCCACATCCAGACTTTGGTACAAGTTATATGTAATTGCTGAGTTCTACCAATGAGCGTTCCATTCATTCTTCTCTTTTACTCAAATGAATATTCTTAAATGCAGCGTGGAGCACGTTGAAAACATAGGCATTCATTACTACCAAACGCTAAGATGGTGGAGAAAAAACTTCATGGAAAGGCAGAGGTATATGTTATTATTCTGATTGGAACTTATTTCTATATATTAAATTCAAGCAACTATTTACACCAACTAATTATTGAAAATTTATTTATGTGCTTTCAGCGAAATCTTGGCTCTGGGATTTAATGAAAAATTCATCAGGACATGGGAATATTATTTTGATTACTGTAGTGCAGGTTTTAAGTCATACACACTTGGGAATTATCAGGTATTTTACATAGTTACTAGTACAATCTTGAGCAATTTGAAGCTTTAAACTCACCAGGCATAGCCATATGGTGTCATTGTCTCATTGCTTGTTGAAGAATTTATTTAACCAGAATTCAGAAATCACATATTAGATGCAGGATTTTGCTAATTACTGCTTCACTTCACAACTAACTATACAACACATCACCCAATTCTACAAAATCCTTTGTGTAAACCACCCGTAGTTATCTCACTAAGTTGACTCTTCTACATGGATCAAACCATGCCATTTGCCATATAAAAAATAAAAAATAAAAAAATGGGTTTAATGTAATCTACCAGCAAGATATCATTTTCAAGAAAGCCAGGCCATAATTCTTTGACAAACTTGATATTATTGCTGAGATTTAGGCTACCCTTAAGCCTTAAGTACTTAATTAACAAGATAGTTCATTCAACTGTGGCATTTATCATAATTCAATATGTTGCACACAGTTGCAATTGTCACAAGTATATGATAGGTTTTATGTAACCATGTAGGTGGTTTTCTCACGCCCTGGTAACGTTACTGCATTCAGTGATCCATACAAGAGGTGGCCCTAAGCCTGTTGATTTGTCTTTCACAAGAGAGAACAAGCTTCACACATTCTAGCAAAGTACATTGATAATCCCAAATTATCTCTTTTGTCATTATTTATCTCTTGTACATCGTTGAATTAGAGAAGCTGAATTGTACTGCTTCACATTGGCAAAGAGTAGATTCGTGAGATTTTTTTTCTAATAAAAAAAAATGATAAATCTTTTTAAATGGAATCAACTTTATATGTAAATCTTTTACATCAACAAGTATTTCAGATTAATCATTAACTATGAGATTTCAATTATTTTAAAAAATTTGAGTACCAGATATATTGAAATTGTGGTTCGTGTTTGTTACCACAATTGTAACATAGAATTTGGTACCGTGGATCAATAGAGAAGGTAGACAAGAAGGTTATAGGCGTTGCATTTTTTTAAAGTAGACATAGGTGTTGGATTTAAATTTAATGACAGTAATAGAGGTAAAACTAAGAGATGCTAAGTGTAGACTGGTGGTAATTATAATCAGATTCATACTTTGAAACACTGTTTAAAAGAAAAAGAAAAAAACCGAAAATTCCAGGCCAGAAGAAGCGTTTATCCTCTCTATTCTCTAGTTAAGAAACCGAAACCGAGACCGAAATCATATTGGCAAAATATTGTTAAGCACCACATTCCCAGTCCACTCAGTTTATGTTTTGCTCCAAGCTTATCACATTTGCGCTACTTTACCAATAAAAGCTCCAACTCCTTTAGTCTCGAATGTATTGTTTTAGTAAAAAGTTTTTAGTCAAAGGTTTGTAAGAGGAAAAACTGAGTTCAAAATTGCAATGAATCCAAGAACACTAAAATGCAACTAACAGGAAAAACTAAGAAAATGAATCTGACCTTTCATTAACACATCAATTCAGAGTCAATGGACCAGAGATAAGGAGGAATTTTGGATTCATTGATGTGTTTCTACGATCACATCATGCTCCTTATATGGAGGTGTGTATGGTACGCAAATCAGGCAAATGTAAAAAACAGAACATGTGAACAACAGCAAAATAACTAGATAGCCAGCTTAGCACTAAAACAGAATATCAGTGTAAAGTTGGGGCCTTCTAACTAACTTCCCAGTAACAAGCTTTGCTTCAAAGCGCTTTCAAAGGGTTCATTATCAACAACTAAAAAGGCAGACAAAATTATCAAGTATTATCAATGAATAAAAACTAGTTGAGCATTGATACGCTCAGTAACTAAATGACCAATTAGCTTTTTTCACATCTATAGCTAGCTGTTTCTAACTCAAAAATAGCAACAAATACGGGTACCATTTTGTAGACTGAGAAAACCTAATAGAAGAAAATGACAGCAACAACAATATATCAAGTGATAAAGAACAGAAGGCACTTGCCGCATAATAACAATGCCAATTTGACCCCTTCAGAGGTAAAACAGAAAGCACTTGCCATATAAAACATTTAACAATTTTTAACACCTTCAGAGGTGAAACAAAAGCTAAAACTGAAAGATAACCATAAATACTAGGAATGAAGACGTGATGAGGAAATTCTACATATAAAATCTTGCCTAACTTGGTAAAAAAAATGTTTCAGACATGAACTTATCCCGTGCAAGTATATTAAAAAATAGGCCAAAATCTAAAGTATCAATCAATTCACAGCCAACTGGTTTAGTCAAATATGCTGCAAACCATCCCCTCAAATTTCTGTCAGCCACCACAAACCAGATCAAAAGTTATGAGATTTTATCACTTGAAAGTTCAGGAATCTTGACGATGCGTTGGCCCAGAAAAAACACAATACGACTGAACAAAGTTCATTCCTTAGCCATGAGTGGACACTTGGCTCCACTTCAATACTCGTGCACCTCTCCTCCTGTACAACACAAGTGCAAATACAGGGGGAAATGATTATGCCATCCTCAAAGTGTTTTTACTATCACTACCATTATCGCTACCCATTACGAAGTGATCAACCCAAGTGTCCACTGCTATCAGTAAATACCTTGACAATATCTTATTTCTAATTGTCATATCATAACAATTAATGTATATGATTAAACAATAAGATTTCCCATTGCCAAACTGTAATAAAAAAAGAGCAGATAAAGGAAAGAAAATGAAAACACCAACAAAATGACAACATAGATAATTAACTGCATCAAACCATCATATAAGGTGAAAAGCTACAAGAACTGAGAACTCCAGATTGACTAAAATCATAAACACGCAATTTAAAGCTACACGCTAAAACAAATACTAAATATAAAGTATCATCTAGTATCTCTTCAACCATACTATTTATTATAAACTAGAAAAGCAGATACTGCAAACTACTGGGATTCAAGCAACCCAACCAGTCCCATTGTGTATTGACATCGAACTTGAGTCACTCCTTTGCTGCTGGAAGAATTCATTGTAAGCTCATGATTTAAGATTAAAAGCCAGGGATCCGCAAGTGAAGTTTAGGATCCACCAAGAGATTCAACTATCAAAATTACTGTTGTTGGGCTTGTCGAGACTGAACACTGCCATAGCCACCACTATAACCAACTTGTCCACCATGGGAGCCATTCCCATGAGGAGTCCCATAGTTTCCAGATGCCTGAGCTTGTTCAGACCTCCAAGCTGCATTTCCAAAGCCTGAATTTCCATTTGCATCCCCATAGCCACTGCCCATATAGCTGCCACTGCCACCACTACCTTGTAGTTCACTCCCGCTAGCATTACTATTTGGAGCACTCCCAGTACGCCCTCCAACAGCACCATATACACCTGGATTCCCATATGAACTATCACTTCCACCGTACCCACCATACCCAGCATATCCATAACCCTGATTCCCATATCCAGCAGCTCCACTAGGGGATTGACCTGCAGTGACAGAACCAGGGCCGCCTCCACCAGATCCAGCACCACCACTTGAAGCACCCCAAGCAGCAGTGTTCCCATAGCCCATAGACCCATAACCAGAGGGAGTCTGAGCAGGCCATGAACTCCTTGGGCCACCTGGTGGACCACCAGCATAAGCAGCATTTGGGACGTTTGGATTCCCGTACGTTGCACCAGCAGGTCCACCATACCCAGCAGTGGCACCACCATAACTTCCATATGCACCGTAACCAATGCCATTATTAGCTGGACCATACCCATACCCAGGAGCACTATAGGCAGAAGAGCCATAAGGCGTGAATCCACCTGCAGCGCTTTGAGGCTGCATGTACCTACTAGAATCCATACGACCATCATATGCATTTTGGTTGCCACTAGATGCCCCATACCCTTGATATCCACCACCTCCAGCACCACTCATACGGCCACTTGCACCAGGATTTGCATCCTTGGGAAGTGCACGCTTTACCTCTACTTGTTTACCATTTAAATCATGAAACGACTTGTGCAAAACCATATCAACTGCTTCCTCACTATCAAAAGAAATAAATCCAAATCCTCGGGGTCGTCCAGAATTCTGGTCATACATGAGTACTACATCAGTTACATGTCCATAAGATTCAAAGTATTGACGAAAATTTTCTTCAGTCAGGGTGGGAGGCAATCCTCCAACAAATATCTTTTTTGTCCTGATATTTCCACCACTTCCAGAATTCATAGAAGAATTGGGGTTTCCAACTCTGGAAGTGACAGAAATCTGTTGATCCTCTCTTGAGAAGGCCCTCTTGGCATCAACCTAAATAATAAAATTATAAAATAAGTTGCTAATTAGGCCTATAACTGATATTGGGGAGAAAAGCAACAACAAGATCACAACAATTATCAACATTTTCAAAACTTATCTTTTAGGCTGAGACATTAAGTCATGTTTTCAGATATTTGGGCATACCCAAAACCATACGAAACAAAACATGGTAAAAACTATCACTAGATCCCATAAGATTCATTACTCATATTACATTCAAGCAAGGCCATGCTCATCCATGAAAACAAGTAATCCTAATTCATAAATACAAGTATTGTTGAAGGAAATAGATCACATACTAGCAACATCAAAAGATCTCTATTTCTTTATTTTTCAAGATATCATTAATGAGGATTCAAATCTTAAAATATCAACATTATTATAACCAGTCATAAACATTTACAAGTATAAGTGCCTTAATTTCTAGAAAAAAATAAAAGAGATAGAAGTAATATGGATAAACTGCAAACATAACAAAGCAAGAAGCATCTATTCAACTTCACTACACATTGATCCATTAAGAATGCTTAACTACAGCTAGTAGCATAATTATTATTTGTTTTCTAACAACTTTGTCTACAAACACAGTCCACAAAACTGTCATCATCTGACTGTGTTTATGCATATCTTAAACTAGGACAAGCAAACCAAACTACCAACAAAATAATTAGGCCCATGTTGCAAAAACTACTTAGCCAAAAATAGGCGTGCAAGGATGAAAACAACCAATCTAGAGATGAACCACTCAAAATTAAAAAAGAAAACCCCATTAAGCCAATAAAGCACAGAACCAAATGCACTAACTCTATGAATAAACCATGAAAACGATTATAAACCCCAAACAGAAGCCATCATTCATTCAACAAAACAAAAACCATGATTCATTTTATTCCCCCCACCCCAAAAAGAAAAGAAACCCACTTGGAATTCGGAAGCAGCAACAGTGAAGTGACAAAGGGAGAGCAAGAGCAAACCCTTGTGCAGGGTAGAACCAAAGTTATCAAATGCAGATTGCAGCATGTCGCGGCAAACCCCGAAAAACACTATAGCGTTATAGCGGATTGCGGTTGCGGAATAGATATATGACAGAAATAATGACAAAAAAAAAAAATTTAAAGGCAGAGATCGCAGAAGTGACAGAGAGAGACGCTGATAGACTAAAAAACTCTTAAAAAAATTTTGTTAGACATTTAAATTTAGGACAAAATTGACATTTTGCCTTATGACAACAATGTGGCTGCGATTTGACCGCAAATGTGATCGCAATGGCCGCTATTGCGTTCTGGTGCGGCGCGGCGCAATTTCTTGCGGCAAGGCACCGCAACGCCCATACGGCGCGGCAAGGCACCGCTATTGCGGCGCAATTAACTACTATGGGTAGAACGCCGCCTTTCATTTTCACTTTGCAAAGAGGCTGTTTTTAGTACTCGAATCTCAAATGTTTTGGACAAACGCACTGTTATTGACCTGATATAGAGGCCTATATTCTAGAAGGCCTAAGAAGTAACCTCTAATAGGGAAATTAAGTAAATATTCCTTAATTGTAATAATCCTAATACGGCAGCAATGGATCATAAACTGGACCTCCAATATTCCTAAGAGACCCAGAAGTCCACTTTTGCCACATAACCCATCTATAAATAAAGGGTTCCGCGGTATATACATTCTAAATCCTCTCTCTTAAACACACCTGGTTATGCCGTCTATAATAATGCACAGTGATCCGCTATCTCTTACATAGAAGAGAGGGCATACAGATCCAACAGCAGCCACCGGCTGGACATATCTATCATCATGACAGAACACGCACTATAAAATTTGCAAAACCAAGTTCTCTATGAAAAATAAACAGAGCACTCCCCACCAAAAAGAAAAAAATAAAATAAAAAGTAAACACCTAAAGAATCCCAACACAGTGACAAAAGAGGGGTTGTGGAACATGAAGTAAAAACTGGGGGAAAAAATACACCAAAAATTAACAAAAAAATAAATAACAGTAGAGACATCACCGTTCTTCCATCAATAACGTGCTTGTCTTCGAGAACCCTGTCGAGAATAGAAGGATCTGCGAAGACAACAAAGCCAAAGCCTCTGGGCTTGCCAGTGTTCTTCTCCCTCATGACTGAAGTGCTCAATACATCACCATAGTTGCTGAAATGCTCCTTCAGCTTGTCTTCATTAGTATCCCACGAAATCCCACCAATAAAAAGCTTTCCCTGATCCGAATCCATTTCCCTTACTCTATCTCTCTCTATATATATATATAAATACTTGTATAGATAGATAGATATATGAATATGAGTTGATTTGTGAAGAAAGATGAAGATGGGGATTTGGGTTTGGGTTCGGGAAAGGAAGAATCAAAGCGAGGGAAGAGAAGGGAAAGAAGAGGGTTTGGTGTGATGTGGCTGAGAGAGAGAGAGAAAGTATAGAGTGTGTGTGTGATGGATTAAGGCTTGTAAAAAGTAATCAACTTGAAGGGCTCTGATTTGTTTTATTTTAAGATAAAAGATTTATTTCTTAAAGGAAAAAAAATCTTTCTTAGATTACAAATGATTTTCTAATAAATTAAACTGAAAGAACTTATTATGTGAACCAAAAAAAGGTAAATATATAATTTATTAATGTGAACAAATTAGTCTTTTAACTTTATAAATCTGTATCGAATTACATCTATTACATCATATTTTTTAGTCATTTGTTCTTTTTTAAAAATAATCTTAAAGTTGGGTAATTATGTTATTTTATTTCAAACACATATTTGTTTAAGTTGTTTACATTTTTAATTATATCATATGAGAGAAAAAATAAAACAATATAAATATATTAAAAATATTTATAAAGAAAAAAGTGTTTGTCATTTTAAGAGAGAAATAGACACAGAAAAAAAATTATTTAAATTTTAAATTGAAAAAAAACCACTCACTTTATCTCTCCCATGATTTTTATTTTTTGTGTCTATCTCTCTCCTATAATGACACATCTTATGTCATTTAAAATGACAAACACCAAGCCTATATATATATATATATATATATATATATATATATATATATATATATATATATATATATTTGAGTCAATTTTTATTGCTTCAATTTCTATTATCTTTTGTATAATTAATCTCATATGTTTAAACATTCACTAATTTTTCTTGAGATAATTTATTTAATAAAGTTGTAATGTATAATAAAGCTAAGATTTTGAATTACATAGGGATATTAAAATAGCCACACACGATGCACATGCACGCACAAAATTAAAATTAAAGTGAAAATTCTAACCTAACAACCAGAACTATTTGTAATATTGGACAATCCAATAAAATAAATTAATGAAAGCGTACATACCTCTATAGTAATATTAAATTTTTGGAAAAATATGTTATTTAAAAATTTTTGATCCACTTTCATAATGAAAGCCTACATGCCTCTCTAATATAAATTTTCTCAAAAGTATGTTATTTAAAATTTTTGGATCTACTTCCTTAATTAATCTTAATATTAAATCTATAGTTATTAATTATTCAAAGATGAAAAAATATTACTTTTTGGAGTTACCCAACCCTAATTATCTCTTTGAGACGAGTTGGCTCCCTCCGGTATCCCCACGAGCTTCGACTCTTTGAGCTGGCTATGGGACTAATCCGGAGTGCGGGGGAACAGTGATGGCTAAAGGTTCAGCGCCCTCTCCAAGAATGCATTCAGCGGGAATTGAACACATATCCAACCTCACTAACTCAGCGCCAAATTACCAACTGAGCTGCACCCATTGGGTGAAAAAATATTACTTTAATTGCTAACATGATGCTAATTATTAATTTATCATTTAAAATAAGATATATTCCTAAATTTAAATTAATGAAAAAAAAATCAATTCTTTCAAACCAATGTTTTGAGATAAATATTAACTTATAAATAACATAAATAACTTATATAAAATAATTTTTTATAAAAAAAAATTCAGAAGTTATTTTTTATAATTTAAAAAATACAAAAATTTAGGCTTCTATTTTTATTAAAAAAAAATCTTTAACAATTATGATTTTTCAAATACTTTTTAGAAGAAGAAAAAATAAACCAATAAAATATATATACATATATCATTTTAACCTGAAAAATATATAATTTTTATTGACAAATTAATAACGTGGTAATATGTAATCTTTGTGTGTATCTTTCATCTACTTATTTAATGCTGATAAGAAGGGAGATAGACATAATTATAAATAATCAAGATTTTTTTACATTACATAATTATGTTAAGACAAGACATGTAGGGATACATTCCTGAATTTAAATGATCGGGAAAAAAAAATCAAATCTTTTTAAAACCAAAATTTTGAGAGAGAAAATTCAGTTATGAATATTGAATAACACAAAGCACTTATATAATATAATTTTTTTTCTACAAAAGTTATTTTTATAACTTTCAAAAAAAAATTACCAAAAAATTATTTTTTTTAGGTTTTTGTTTTCTTTAAAAAAAAAGTTGTCTAATTATTATAATTTTTTAAACAAATTTTCTTAGTTAAAAAAGTACTTTTTAGAAGAAGAAAAAAACAAATCCATGAAGTGAAAACGTCACCTAGTCATATTTTGAGTAATTGACCCATAAAGTAAGATAGATGATAGAGTGCTTAAAAGCATTTTAATATTGAACAACATTTTAAATGCATTTATGTTTTCTTTTTCATAAAAAATAAAAGTAAAAAGTCAAGACCTCATTAAAAAAAATAGAAAGATGCAAGAAAATTTCGTGCTATTAATTACAAAAGTTTTATTAATCTGGGATGTAAAAAAATATATTATTTGATATATATACCTTAAATTATTCATAAAATTGTAAAATTATTTTTTCAATAAAGGATAATTTACCATATTGCATGTGTCTCCTTATAATAATATTTGCCAAACTTTTATTTATGTTTTCATGATACTTTTTTCATTATTTTATGTGTTTTATAATAAAAAAAATACATAAATATTTCATGTATTTAATTCAAGAACTGATTCCTCAATAATTTACATGCTGAAGTCATGGGGAGAACAAAGGATTCACTTTTGCTATCTTACTTTGTTGGATGAATTGTATTATTCTCTTTTTTATGTAAGGGCTCAATATAAAAGATCTGTGTAATACACCATAGAAGTCCACTGGTACAAGTATAACCTCGTCATAGGTAATCTGAAGGGTTATTTGACCATTTTACCCCTCATTAATTAATTAATAATTATTTTGCCCCTGATTCGAAATTATCTACCAATCTGCCGCTCTTTAATCGATTACCTTGCATTTTTAATCGACTAAATAATTGTTGGGAGATTTAATCAACTAAATCTACCTGGCTTTTTGACCACTGTAGCCCTTTATTAATAATTATTTACCAAATTGCCCTCGATTAGAAACTATTACGAAAAATTAACCCTCCAAACAAACATAACACCAATCTGCCCCTGTTTGACCGTTGACCACGAAGCATACCCGGGTACCCCACTCCATACCCGGGTATATTTTAAAAAAATCAACCATACCTGAGTATGGAGTGGGGTACCCGGGTATTGTTCTTCAATTTGGAAATTTTTTGAATAATTTACCCGGGTAGGTAATGGGGTACCCGGGTAGATTTCGCGAATAGGGTACCCAATACCAAGGGTTTCGGCCATTGTTGCGAGGTAGAGTTTTTTCTCCCCAAATCAGTTTCCCTTCACGTCTCTATTCTGAAACATCACACATATATTTCATCTCATCATCTCAAAAAGCTTAATCTTGGTAGGACATTGGCATTACACCTCCACATTTCCATTTTGTGTTAAAAAATTCGAACCAAGATCCAAACCCAAAACCTAAACCCAAATTTTCGTGTGAAAGATGAGTTCAAGTCCTATCATGGTACCTATAGTTATTTACTACAATGGGAGGCATTTTGAAGGTCCGATTTGAAGGAAAAACAAAAACGATGAAAATCAAAGTGGGCACTACATGCAATGAACTCAAGGACGGAATTCTCCAAAAAATGGGGTCAGAAGGCATCCATTCCATCCACCGCATGATAGCCAGGTTAGAGACTGTTGTGGATATGGATACAATATACTACATTGGTAACGATATCAATGATGATGAAGATGTGGAGTTTGTCACAGATGCGTATGTTGGATGGAAAGTATTAAAAATGATTGACATATTTATAATGGTTCACATATTTATTTTGTCATCTTAACTCACTAATTGCATATGTCATTAATGATTTTGCAGGGTACACATGTTCAAAGATTAATTTTGATCTCAGATACAAGGAATTCATCGACAACAATCCAGAAGTTGCTTCATTGTTGGAGGCGATACCGAAAGAGCAATGGTGCAGGTCGTATGATGAGGCAGGACGTAGGTTTGGTCATATGACAACTAACCTATCTGAGTGTGTGAATAAGGTGCTTCGGGGAGCACGTAATCTGCCTATCACTGCATTGGTTAAGATGACATTCAGTAGATTCGTTGAGTATTTCGTCAACAGACGTGAAGAGATTGAAAAAGACGTCTCACAAGGCTGGATAATTTCAAAGAAGGTTGAGGCAGCTTTGCAAAAAAATGATGAATTGGCCGGCACTTATCGTGTGAGGATTTTTGATAGTCAGTTGTTATTGTTTGAGGTTGAGGATGCCTATAATCAATCTACACACGAGGTCGGTGACACCATGCGAGTGGACTTAATCAATCATAAATGTCAGTGTGGTAGGTTCACGGCAAGGAGGTATCCCTGCAGCCACGTATTAGCAGTTTGCAAGGCAGCTCGTTTGAACCATTATGATTATGTGGATCCTGTTTTCAAAATTCCAACCATTACTAAAGTATATGCTGCACATTGGTATCCTATTGGCAATGAAATGTTGATTGATTAAATGGAGGCCATCACATGATCAAATGTCCATCCTCCCTCAGGAGTTGTCCATCCCCCCTCAAGTGATGGTGGACCTGGTGGTCGCCGTGTGCGGCTGCGACGTGCAGGAGTGGGATCAACAGCATGGACAACATCATCTGAGTCATCATCATCAAGTCCTGCATCAACATCATAAAAAGTAGACATTAAAATGTGGATGGTGCAAAAACATTAACCCTACTGCTACCCTAAATCCAAAAAACATTTACCTGCACCTGCATCCTCCATCTGAGCATCGTGCTGAAGGGGGACCTCTGGTGGTTCAGGTGCCTTCTTCCAGTACCACACACCTGCTGCGCTCTGCATAATCCTGCATTGCTTCAAAAGGCGCTCCCCAAAGATGGCATTCCATGCTGTGGCTGTCTTCATGGTCTCAGTTGCCATAGGAACACCAAATCTGTGCAAAATCTTCTGGACCAGGAATGCAAATGGCAATTCAGCCTTTTTTGACTTGGTCGCCTTCCACATCAAGATGCATATGTAGTGCCTCTAGTTCACCTTAATATGGTGAAGGAGGGCCCACAATATCACAAAGTCACCTTCCAGCACCTTCGAATGATTATGAGGGCGCTGGAAAATAATGTGGGTCACCACATAATGAAGTATGCGGGCAGACACAGACAAATTGCTGACAGGATAATGAGCAAATTGTCCGGCCTTTGCATCTGCCCTCCTGGTCTCAGCCACAACAGCCTCCCTATCATAACCACCAAATATATGATGGTTGTCTCCGTCATATAGTGCTGACCCTGTCTCACCGTCGAAGTCAAATCCCAGCAACTCTGTCCATATAGGAGCAGTAAGGATGATATCAATCCCGCATACACGGGAAGTTAGCTCACCATGCACATAGCCCAGGTTCTGGTAGAATGCTCGCACCATGACCTCTGAGTACGGGCACCTCATCTCCATAAGCACCATCAAATGTGTTTGCTGAAGAAGTGGGACTATGTCGAACCGCTCCAAATTGAAGAACGCCGAATCCAGTGATTTCGGCTCATGAAAAACTTCACAAACCGCTCGTGTGCACCAGCGTCATCCTCAAATAAATATCTGAACGGCAGGTCCGGAGCCTGATGCACAGTCTGGGGCTGAGAGGAGGAAGATACATCATGTCGGTGCTTGCTCCTCCCTTCAGTATTCACCGCTCTCTTCTTCCCAGCGCGTTTGTCCTCCATGCAATAACACTGTAAAAAAAAATCAATTTCAGAGAATATGGATAAACAAGTTTAGGGTTAGGGTTAGGGTTTTTTATTAGCAACAAATCAGAATGCATTTTGAAAACGAAAATTAACAATACGCAAAGCAATAAATTAAAATGCATACATGATTACATCAAGGTCAGGCCGATTTTTATGATGAATCAGAAATTCAAACGGAAAAAAATAACAAATCTTGAAATTTCAATCGATAGAAGGAACCCATACCGTGCGCCAAGGATGATGACAAAGTCTTGAGATGATCGATCAAACGTGCTCCCAGAATGGACGAAATCGCACTCAGCAGCTCTCTACCCGGGTACCCTTTGTGGGTTTTTCAAATGGGGGTTGCTGGGGCTTTTAAAAAACCCTATTCGCGAAATATACCCGGGCACCCCATTACCTACCCGGGTAAATAATTCAAAAAATTTCCAGATCGAAGAACAATACCCGGGTACCCCCATACATACCCGGGTATGGTTGATTTTTTTAAAATATACCCGGGTATGGAGTGGGGTACCCGGGTATGCTTCGTGGTCAACGGTCAAACAGGAGCAGATTGGTGTTATGTTTGTTTGGAGGGTTAATTTTTCGTAATAGTTTCTAATCAAGGGCAATTTGGTAAATAATTATTAATAAAGGGCTACAGTGGTCAAAAAGCCAAATCTTCCTACTTAATCGATTAAAAAATCATACTGACTTGTTTTCCTTTGTTGTCTGTTGGGAGATTTAGTCGACTAAATAGGGAGATTTAGTCGATTAAATCTCCCAACAACCATTTTTGCCTGTTTTGACCATTTAGTCGATTAAAAATGCAAGGTAGTCGATTAAAGAGGGGCAGATTGGTAGATAGTTTCGAATCAGGGGCAAAATAGTTATTAATTAATTAACAAGGGGCAAAAGGGTGAAAAAACCTAATCTGAAGACTAAAAGTTCTCCCCATTTGGGTGATAAATTTTATTGTTCTTATTTTTTTAGATAAAGAATTTAATTGTTCTTTACTTTTAATAAAGGGTTAATATTTTCTCATAGTGGAGCTCACTCTATATTTTTTCTCTCATATATTCTCTTTCCTCTCTCCTTTATTTTGTGAGTGTAAAAGATTAATTTTTTCTAATGTAACATAAGAAAAGATTATTCCTTGAATAAAATAGGGGAGGGTAAATTAAAAGTGAAATATTCAAAGTGGACCAGAATTCTCATTTCCTGCGAATCTAAAATGACACACGAAGTAGGTATTTGTAGTTCAGAGGGAAATTAGTGAACAGTGATATTTATAACACTAAAATAACTCTCTTAAAGATCAAAAGCAAAATATGTTCATAGTTCTAGTTGTGTGTTGAATCACAAAGATAGCTCAAATAGAGCATTGTGTTTTTCATGTTTGAGATATGGCTTAGTTAACAATTTCGATACAATAAAGGAAGAAAGTTTGTCGTAATATTATGTCATTATAAAGTGATAGTATTTTAATTAATATTTAAATTAAAAAAAATCAATAAAAAATTATCGTAATAATTTTTTATTTTATGACAAATTTCTAAAATCATAAAACATAATTGTTTATTTAAAATGACAAAATACTTTATCTTTTAAAAAGACAAATATTTTTCCTTATTTTTAAAATGAAATAATCTTAATGTTTCTCTTTCTTTATCTTATACTTGAGTTTACAATTAAAAAACGCAAATCTTTTTTTGTTATTTTATTTCTTACCAATTCTTTATTTATTACTTATTTTTTATCTATTTTCAAATTTCAAATTTCAAATTTCAAATGAGGTTAAATATTAAATATAAACTATTTAGTAAATAATTTACATTAATTACTTCAGATTCAACATGTAACGGTGGTGCCAATGTCTCGGGCATATAAAATGCATAATTTTAAAATGAAAAAAAAAAAAAGGCAGAAAAGGAAATAAAAATAAGAGAGGACAAATAAATAGTAGATACGAAAGCAAAAGATTTAGGCGGCACTTTGCATTTTCAGATTTGAGACAAAAAGCAACTTACAAGTTGACCCTACCCTTCTTTTTAACTAATAAAAAAGAGAAAAAGAAAAAGAAAAAAAGAAACTCTTGTGCCCACAATCATCATTAAAAGCCTAACGTTACTATTTTCGAAATTGCTTGGAGCCAAACGGCTTTAAAACTCTTGTCACATGTTCTCTCCGTTTTCTCTCTGGGTGGCATGCAGTGTCACTTTTTTTATTTGAGTTGCTTTCATTATTATATGCCACCATAGCAGCAACTACACTTCTTCCTCCTTCTCTTCTCTTCTCTATAGAAGATGGGTTGTTTTCTTGCATGTTTTGGTTTTTCCAACAAAAGAAAGCGTAGAAAGACTCTCTACAAAGTCCTTTCTCGACACCAACACCAACACCATGTAAGCACTTCCTTTCTTTTGTTCTTATTTAACAACGGACACGTTCATATTTCAGCCACTTTTTCAGTTATAACTTCAAAAAAAAAAAAAAATTGTTATCTTGCAGAAATATGCAAACTATGAAGTTCTTGCCGTATCAGAAAAATCCATTATCCCATATTCTGGTTTAAGGTTACCATTTATCTTCTCTCTTCCTTTTCTTTAATGTGTGTAGATGATGGATTATTTGTTTACTTTTATTCTTATTTTGTTCGAGACAGAGATGAAGGGAAGGAGCAGAATAGTGTCAAAAGCAAGAAGAAGAAGAAGAAGAAAGTTACCTTCAATTTGAATGTACAGATATACGAGCCAAACCCCACTGCTTATCAGGTATTGGATAATGAGGAAGAAGAAAATAAGAACAACACTGCACAACCAGAAGGAAGGAGCTTACCTTCTTCGATCTTAGGAGGAGAGGGATCTGCAGCCTTGACTATGAGATACCCTTCAAATTACAGATATTACAACTGCTCAGAAGGCTATGATGAGGAGGATGAAATATCACATGAGGAATCTGACATTGATGATGATGAATTTGATGATGGGTATGATTGGGATGATGGTGGTAGTGATGTAAGTATAGAGAATGATGAGGATGAAGTACATGATGAAAACACTAAACAGAAAGTGTTGTCAGAAGACATGATAAAGAATCAGATGCCAGTTGCTCCAAATGATGCTGAGATGGAAACCAATTTAAGTGGACGAGACAGAAGCATAAACATGTATTCTGTTCTGAGCCCTGTAGAGAACCTCACTCAGTGGAAAGCAATCAAAGCAAAAGTCACATCAACTATGCACAGGAGGAAGGAGAATGTTCCCCCAGAACAAAATACAAGCATGCCCTTGAATTCTTCACCTTGCAACTTAGAATCAAATGTCCTTCAGTCCAAACCCCTGTTGCCAGAAATTGCAGTTGATTCCAGTCTTTCAAACTGGTTGATTTCTCCTAATTATAATGTCTCCAAGATCACAATTCATTGTCAATGATGCGGACATGTCATTGAAGAATCAGAGACTTGGAAGATATTAATCCCATGGACTTAACAGAGCAGCTTTTAATTGGTGGACATGAATTTCACACAGGAAAGTGCAATATGATACTACCAGCCTATTATTGGTGGAAACCAATTTTAAAGGATAACGAATCAAAATTTGATTCCTCTGTTGATTATTCATTCAGCAAATCAGTATAAGCCAGTTGGGATGATTTTTCATTGTATTTGTGTGTCTATCCTGTATTTTATTTTGTTTTGTTTTTTGAAGGGTTATGTTGTGATCAATGCAGAGTGTATTTGTCTGTGTTTATGTCTTTCATTCTGCAAAGCAATGTTGGAACCAATTTGATGAGGTTCTTGTGTAAACAATCTACGCAACATAGGGTGATATATAAAAACTATAATTGAATACCAACTGCAGAAGCACATGCTGATTCTACAGCAATGGCACAAACAGAACCAAAGAACCCTTTCAGCAAAATTACTTCAGAATAAATACTTAAATCATGAAAAATTTATTCCACCTATTGAGTAATAGGAAAAAATTAAAGAAAAAAAGACCGAGGTATCTCCACTTTAATTTGAAACAAGATTAAAGCAAATGAGTGTATAATTCTGAATAGTACACCAGACTAAGCATATGAAAATGCTCATTTAGTTTACATACATCGAAGCTGTGCTACTATCAGCACAGTCAGTGTCTAAATAATTTCGCTGGAAGCAATGTGTACTTTGATTTGCATAGAGAACTCCCAAAAGTCCACCTAAGAAATCATGTCAAAACCCTGTAAGCTGAACTGGATCCAAATAAATATTGGCAAACACTAGGAGCTGCTTTTCTTGGTTATTGGAGAGTTGGTCCCAAACCAGAACAAAGATCAAACATGCCGATTCATCATATTTACTTCAAATTCAGGCTTCACACACCCCAAGAATGCTCCCGTGATTAGTCCAGCAGAAAGTTTGAGACAGCTTATCAAGATGATCTCTACATTATTGAACAGATACAAGAATCCTCATCCTCATCCTCCTCTGAGTCACTGACATCACTGCACACATAATTGGGACACCAAACATGAGATAATTCTGGTTATATGACATATCTGGGGTTGATTATCATATTCAATTTTGTTTTGCTACATTTAAGTTTTACAGCAAATACTTTGAACTTGTATCCTAGTAGGCAAGAAAACTTTGGTTAATTTTTTCTTCCTTCTTTTGTTCCACCAGCATACTTAGTAGCAGCTCCTATCAATTTTAACCTTTGTATTAACTCCACATCTAATTACAGATTTGTGTAAATCAAGAAAAAGAATAGATGAAATAGTACAATTTGATCTCAAAAGTTCTTTATTGGTCACCGACACTCTAGGTAAGATGGCTTCTATGGCATATCTTCCCATCCCATAAAACAAGGACAGTTCTAAAATGTTACTACTTCCTCCGCTAATTTATGCTTTCACTTTCTCCCACAGATTCTATAGGAGTCATAAGTTTATCAATTTTAACGTATGCAGCAATTCTATTGTCGTTTCCACATGGATAAGAACTGAAATTCTTTTTCTCCTAATGTTTGTCTTACATGTCTCAATAAGCAGAAAAGTTGAACAATACATCCTCCCTCGATTCAATGATTGTTTATCCTTCAGAATCCACTCATGGCTAATAAGCCCCAGTGGGAGTAGTGACTAGCGTTATAGGTTGTTGGGCGGCCGGAAGGTTGCCACGAGTAAGTCAGTTTGGGGGACCGAAGGCAGTTCTCCGTGCACCGGACACGTAGCTTACCGAATCAGTTGCGACACCGATGGGAATGCATGCTACGAAAGAGAGGGTCGAGTCTGAAACATCAACCGTCTACTCAATATCCTTGTACGAGTCCACAATCACTACACGAGATGAACCTTGGTTTGGTGAATTGAAGTTGGCCTTAGGTGTCAAAAAAAAAAGGACTCCCAGTTACTGCGCGCGATCGTATACTGAGGTGCTCCCCGCCGGTTGTTGGAACGACGCGAGCCGGGCCTCCATTCAGAAAGATGAAGGGTCAAAACAAAAGTCAAAATAGGGGGTTACAAATTCCCCATCTCATTGGGGGCGGAAAACGAATCGACATATGTGATACAGCCTTTTCTATTTTCGTTGGGAAAGAACGGCGAAGTCCATCCGAACCGTTCAATGAAGAATAAGAGGAGAGCAAAGCGCCAATGGCGCGCGAAGCGCATGCGAAACGGGCACGGATAAAAGTGTGGAGGATAAGCAGCCGAGCTCATTCCCTTCGCTTCCTGGGCCCAAAGCAGTGCAGTCTTTCCTGGCCAAATCAAGGATTTGGGGCTTCTTGCTACGCTACTTAACTATAGAAATCCATTTTTTTTAGCATCTTGAAGAGTAAGCAGTAAAGATTTACATTCAATAATGGAAATCTCAAATCCCAAGCTATCTGCATTATTTCCAGTCTACATGTCCAAGTAAACACCTTATAAATGAACTCTTCCTTCAAAAAGCATCTAAGCCTTTTATTTGCTATTTTTAACAGTGCTTGTTCACTTCTTTTGCTTTAGAAACTCTATAAAATAAACCCATTTTTCATTGCTAATTTAGAGCTTAACAAGCTATAGAGCTTAAATCTAGTCTTTCATTTTTATAAAGAAAGAAAGATCAAACACAAAAGGCAAAAAAATTGATTGGATAAACATCCATGACACTTACGCAATTTCAGCAGTACCCTTTTGTTCAAAATTGATTAAGTTCATATTAATTAATTTAATTAAACTAACTTCATGTTTACAGTATGTGCAATTAATACAAATGCTTTTTGCTTAAGATCCTTTTTTTTTAAAAAAAACAAAAAAGATTATTTTGAAGTATAACTAAGACCAGACACATTTTGCAAAAGAACTGATGGATGAGGTTGAAAGTCTGAGTGCATTAACTATCTCTATAAAATTCCAGTCTTTTGCTCCGTATCCCCAGGGAAAATTTAGTTCCCGTTCCATACATGTTATCCATCCCACATATTCCAACACTAGGACACCCTTCTTTTTCAAAATAATTTTTAGGAGGCACATTGATTGCAGGCAAACTCGGCATCATTGTATATGCCTGCATTGTTTCTTGAGTTAACCTGATTTATTATCAGCAACTTACATGGACATTTTCTTTTGTAGTACAATTAAAAGCATAAACAATTATCAAAGATAAAAAATTAATGCAGGACAAAAATTATGACACAGATAGGATCAAAATACTTTGAGACTTTTATGCTTACTTTTCCTCAATGTTAATAGATAGATTAATCATCACAAACGTTAGACCAATGACCTTGACTTCAAAAATCTAGTCTAAAGCTAAGCTGTATCATAAGCCCATGCATCTCCTTGTGTCATTGACCAAGGTGTAATCCATTAGTTATATGCTAGATATAAGTCATTGCAAATGTTAATGATCAGGTGGTCGAAAGCGTGTAAAGAACACAGTTCCCAGGACAGTTTTGAACGGACCACAATGGAATTTTACCATTTTCGATTTTACACTAGTTATTCTCTCCATTTTATGACTAGTCCAGGAATGTGGAAGCAAAAGAAAAGGAATGAATCCATGAAGGAAAAATATTGTAGTATGAGAAAATGATGGAAAATTAGCAGGGAGCTTATAGGAGTAGCAGGAATGACTAACATGCAAAAAGTCTGAAAAAGGAATAGAACCTATAATTATGCAGGGCAATCTACAAAATTAGACACACTGATAGTCTGATACATCCACAAATGGAGTCACTGCGATATAATAACAGAGGACATGGAGAAAAAAAGAAGAAAAAACCAGATCAAGAAAACAAAGCAAGATCACATTGCAATTCAGTGACCCACCATTGCATTAGGCATATAAAAACAATAAATTCAAAGGAAGCATACATGAGTTTTCTAATTAAAAGAGAATATGCTTGAGTTAGCTGAGGAGTCTTCGCATTGCCTTAAAATATAGCCTTACTCACAATCAATGCCAGAATGCCTAAAAGGCATCCACAAATCTTCTCTGGTAAGATCTAACCTATGAAGGCAAAAGTGTTCTCTGGTATTTTACAAGCCTGCATAGAGTCTTAACTAATACAACTTATTTTTTAATTTTCATTTTTTATTCAATGATTTTTAATCTTTTTTGCTTTGCATTCTTAGCAACAAACTGAAGTCATTTTTCTTGGAACTGTCATTACTTAAGAAACTTGTTAGTAAATAAGAGAGAGTAGCACTTATCAGGGGACAAAATATCCTCCACTTAAGACGAATAGTTGGTAATTAAGGGCAAAAAAATGGAAAAGAAACCCAAACTGCCCTCCAATCCTATTAAGCATCTGTAAAAGAGAAGCCTCCTAAAGTAGCATTTGTATATTACCACAAAGATACCCTATAAACTGTCCAACCCAAAGCAAAGTTGGTGGCAACAAGTGTGGGAACTTTAAGTTTGCAGTCAGACTAAGATTTAACTAAATAGAGCTAAAGCCAAGGTAAGCTATTAATTGAATTTAAAAACAAGAAGACAAAAGTTAGGTTAAAACTAGATAACCTAAAGCAGAAAGAGAAGAGGGGGAAAAGGGCATGTTCCAATTTCATTTCTTTGAAATTTAAAGCACTGACAGAAAAAACCAAAAGTCAATAAAAAATGAAAATAGAAGAATAAAGAAGACCAAATATGTCTAAATTAAAAAGAATATGCTGGTTCAAAATATTTCTAGACAAAAAACTAATTATCACCCTACAAATATAATAGCAAGCAAATAGATACCACAAAATGATGCAACCCAACCCAATCAATTCCAATTTCAACTTGCCGTTTGATAGAGACTTGAAATCTGTATCAACTCATTATTCATGTGATTCTTATACTTTACAATAACATTAAGGTAATTTGAAATGAGAGGTGATCATCAGAAACACAACTCCACACTCTAACCAGAGCCAACTCCCTTGGCAGAGAATCTTAGTTCGGACTTCAGAGATAATGAACATGAAGATAATAGACATGAAAGCTTCTGCAGACTTCAGCAACTTATTCAGAAAAGTAGCTTATTTACCAAAAATTCCATATGCAAAATCAGAATCATATTACTTCTCACAATAAAAGTTTAGCAAAACCTCTAAAATTTCGCCACTTGCACAAAAATAGGAAAAACAAAACTATTCTTGTTTTTTTCTTTTAACATCAATACACAACTGAACTGAACCAGTACACAATTGAAGTTTAAGTTATAGGAGGTAACAAAAATGGAAACAATTTATAAAAAGAAACCAAATAAATAAATAAATCAAAGGAGAACAACAAACATTCAATTTTCCAATCAAACAATTACGTGGATGTAAAGTAACTGACCAAAATTTAGAACACACAAGTTACCTTGGCTCGTATTCCAACACCTCAACAAGCTTGTTTCCATTCTTATCGTTCCATTGCACTTTCCTACATGTCTTATCTGACTTCCGTGACATTCCTCCTCTTCGGGGTGGCAACAAAGAATTGGAATCACTATCATCTTCTCTATTAGCATGATCTTCAACCTTTCTACCATCTAAAGAAGCCACAGCCACAGGCTTCTTCATGCACCCATTAGCATCCTTGATGGACTCAGTATCCATCAACAAGAACGCTCTTCCAGATGCTCTCCCAGTTCCGTTTGGTGAAACAGACCGAAGAAGAACAACAACAAAAAATAAATAAATAAACCTAAGATTCAGGGAAATCTATGAATTTGATAGAAACCCATTTGACCCATTTGCCTGAAAATCACACCCCCAACTCCTTAATTCCACCAAAAATCAAAACTTTGGAGGAACCAAACCAAGAGGTCAACGCAGGGAAAAACAGGGGAAACAATGAGATTATGAAACAAAAAGTTTTAACTTTAACAAGACCCAGGTAATGCAAGGGCAGTGAGAGAATCTTAGTGTCAAGAAAAAGAAAAACTTTATCGAGAAAATAACGGAAATTTAATGGCTGCAAAGTGGAAACAATCCACAATCAGAATCCGAATTGATGCACAAACAGCACAGCAGCCAGCCAAAACGTGGAAAAAACAAAAAGGAAAACTAAAATGGATCACTCGCAGATCACACAGTTCATAAAAAAAGTTTCTGCAATTAGAAGGTAAAAAAAAAAAAATCACCACGCACTCTAAAATTAAGAATCAAACAAAGATTTGCAAACAATAACAATAAAAATGGGGGAAGTGCGTTTACTTTTTTTTGTTTTCCTCTTTAAGTAAAGTCGTTACGCACCCATAGGAATTGATCATCTTGTCTAAAAGTTTGGTAGACTTAATTTGAAGGATAGATTATTTATCTACCTTTTTTTTTATACTTATCTTGTTTATTATTTTTTAATATCGTTAAATTAGAATTTCAGATAATTTTTATTATTTTTCTTTTTTCTTTTGAGATTCTGAAATTAAAAAGTTGTTGATAAGATTGGCATAAAAAAAGTAAGTAGAATGATAAATCTCTAATTTTAATACACATTTGTGTTTTATTAATTTTCAAAGAAAAATTACCTTTCTATTATAAATTAATCAACACGGGTAATAATGAAAAATTAACCCTAATTATATATAAACTAAGAAAATTAAAAAAAAAAAAACTACACAGTTATGTTATTATTCGGAATATAAAATAAGTGCTACTTAAATAAATAAAAATTTAAAAATAAATTAATTCGATATAAGATTCTTTAAATCAATTTTGTACTATAAACTATTTTAAAAAGAAAGAAACTAATTCTAGTAGATATTTTAATTGCCCGAAAATTGTAATGTCTAATAATTTAATTCGTCTATTTCATTTCAATATAACTTCCATTACGAAATACTAACATATGGTATCATAATATTTGAATATACCAGTATCATAGTATCATAACAGAAGAGCTGCATCTACCATTTATATGCCATTGACATGCACAATATTCAATTTCCATAAAAATTTCTTCCACAAAAAATTAAGGGTTGGAATTTGGAAATATATAATATCCCAGATTCCCAGTTGAGAGCTGACAAACCTTTGGCCAATTTGTGTGTATGTTGCAGGGTATCAATGTTTTCACTGTCTTCTTCAAACGTGCCCAATCAAGCCGTGGTAATAGCGAAAAATCGATAGACGCAGCTCGTCGTAAAGGTTTATGATTAATATTATATGTCTATTTTTAATATATGAGTGCCCATTTCGGAAATACCGAAAGTATTATCTAATGTCACGGTTGTATTTTTCTTAAACGTTTCAAATGAAAATAGATGAATGGATTAAATTATTATAAATTTAAATTTTAATAAACGAAGTTGATGAAACCTAAATTGCACCGACACTTCAAAAAAAATCTGAAGTATTGTGTCCGACACTCTCCCACATGCTCGACATCTATAATATTTGAAATTTCATTATATCATGGAAAAAGAAATTGATCGTTGTTTTACCAAACTGATATAATAAAAATTAAAAAATAAATATCAAATAAATTTCACTGGAGTGTATAAGAGATTTTCAATTTAAAAATATAATAGCAAATATTTACATCTTATGTTTCTTTGCAAAATTGACGAGATTATAAGTTTAGTTTACTTTTTTGTTAAATTATTGAATATTTAATATATTATATACTACATAAATTAATTTTTTTTTAAAGTATAGCAGTGAAGCATGATGTTGGTTAGATTAAGTTTTGCTTAGATATGTAATGAGGGATGAAATGGAAAGGAATGGAATATGGTGGGATGAATGGGATGCCATACATTTTATTCGATATTTATGATGTCATATAACAAATCAGCTTCATTAAAAAAAAAAGTGTGGGGAATAATTTTTTATGTTAAGTTGAAGTTTTTTTTTTCTTTTCATATTTATATTTCTTGTTTTTTAATACATTTAAAACTTTCTTTAAAAAAAAAAAAAATCGAGGGAACTGCCTCTAAACCCCTGCCACTAAATGTGCGGACATATATAATATTTTCTGGGTCCGTCACTGGATGAAACTAAGGTGTTAATTAATTTACAATGCATAAACCACTAGATTTGGCGACAATGTGTTTGGATAGTTTGTATTAGATTATCTGTTGAATTTCTACCAATATATATATATATATATATGTGTGTGTGTGGGGGGGCTTTTTACCCTTTTGTCCCTCATTAATTATTTAATAACCATTTTGTCCCTTATTGAAAATTATCTACCAATCTGCCCCTCTTTAATCGATTAAATTGAATATTTAATCGATTAAATCTTCCTCTTCATCAGAAGAACAACATTATGTATGAGAGGTTTAATCGATTAAATAGGGAGATTTAATCGATTAAATCTTCAAGTCAACGATTTTTGCCTATTTTGACCATTTAATTGATTAAAGAGGGACATATTGGTAGATAGTTCTGAGTAAGGGACAAAATGGTTATTAAATAATTAATGAGGAGCAAAATGGTGAAAAAGCCTATGTGTGTGTCTTAATGATAATCTTATTAAAAATATTACATGCATTCCTCTATTTTTATCATTACATCTTTAAAGATAAACTTTCCACCTACGAAATAACCTAAAAAAATTTATATGTTAAACAAATATTACAAGGGAAATGTTTTATATATTGTCAACATAGTAAACTAAAAGAAAAAACTCAATTCAACAAAAGAAAGATATCAAGTAACTATTAAATAGTAACATATTAGCCGAAACAAAAGACAACATATACTGAAAGCCGAGAAAAGGAGACGTGAAAATGAAAGCCAAAAATAAGCCAAGGACTAGAGACCTGCAAGTATCGCAAGCAAGTTTGAAAAATGAAGAGTCTGCATGTTTTAATAATACACTTTCTGGTGATTTTAATGAAATGTGATTTTAGCCACCAACGTTTTCTTACTTAATGTGAAGGTGATTTGGTGATATATTATTATATTGGGGGAATATCAAGTTACATTAATATAAAAATAACAATTTTTAATCAATTTTTAATTTTTAATTTCATTTACATCTAATGATTTGCATGATTAAACTAAAATCATATATATAAAATCAACAATTAATAATAAATATAAAACTACCAATTGTAAGTTAATCTTGGCCATGTTATATATATGCATAAAAAAATCAAAATATGGAGGTCCTCCCCAGCCTTTTTTATTGTCTTAGCAAAACTTGACCGTTGAGTGTTAATTGAAATATGGATGAGAAATATTTATTATTTTAACTTATGTAATAATTATCATTAGATCTTCATAAATTTTGGTTGAATTTTTGTCAAAATTCTTTAACTATGTGGCCTTATTATTCTTATTAATCTGTAGGTTGAGTCAAAAGCTTAATTTGTCATGTAGTTTGACAAGCATCAAACACTTATACTAATCAAATCCTAAGCTAGCAATTTTTGTATTAGTGAGTCCAATCAAAATAAACCAACATTAACAACTATGTCTACTACTTGTTGCATTTTGATATTATTTTTTCAAAACAAAAAAAAATTACTTTTTCAAAAAAAAATAGTTAATAAAATAAAATTAAGCTATGCAAGACAACTTATCACAAATATATTCAAATATCGTAAGATCTCAGCTTAAACAAATTCTAAATTTATTTGATACGCATGCATGACAAATATCATCGTTGGTCTAAAATGATTGACAATACAAATAGAAGTGCATTTCAATTGGTTAAAGCCAATATATTTCATAACAACAAAATTATTAATCAACTGAATTTTATTTTTTTATTTTTTTCTGTTGTATGGAAAGAATGACGACGAAAAGAAAATAAAGAATGAAGGTAAGAACTATAAAAGTACAGAGGGAAAGCTTTTATTGAATGGGTAAAAAAGGTTAGGGATTTCTTTTTCTATTTATCTAGCAAGTATTTTATATTATATGAATATTTTAAATTTCGGTAAAATTTTAAAAAAGAAATAAAAAGTATATAAAATAAATAAATAAATATTTAAAATATAATAAAAATATCCATAATTAATTTAGGTAAATTTTAAAAATATATATTAAAAGAAAAAAAAATCTAAAACCACAAAGAAAATAGGCATAGTTAGTTTAAAAGAATTTAAATTTATTTTTTAAGGAAAAATAGTTCATATTGACACATGTCATTTTAAAAAGAGATTAAAGTAAAAGATCACGTCACTCTTGAGAAATTATTTTTTTGGATGAGTTTATTTCTTCAAAAGTTATTTTTGTAAAAAAATATTTTTATTAAATATAAGTGTTTGGATATCTGCTTTTAAAATAAAATAAAATTATGTATCTATTTTTTTAAGCTAAAATTTTTAGTTTCTAAAAAGAACTTGAAATCAAAAGTTAAATATTTTTTTAAAAACCAAATATGCTCCAACCCTAATATAACCAATCTCACGTCATCACAACCACCATCGTCACTATTGACACCTTTGCCCCCATCATTCCGTCATTACTACTATTGTTATTGTTGTCATCACCAACACTATACCCTCATCACTGCCGCCGCAACCACCACTGTATTGCGCTACTGCTGTCACCATCACCACCAAATCTTAGAGCCTATTTTGTAGAATAGTAATAGAAATAATTATTTTTTGAGTTTGTTTTGTTTTGAAAGTTAGTATTCAAAAAAAAATAAAAAAATCCTAATACATGTTCTCTAAATTTAATTCTAAAAACTAAAAAATAATTATAATTTTTAGAACTATTTTTATAAAATAAAATTTATCAAATATATTTTTATTTTTTCTGAAAAAAAATAAAATATTTCAAAACATAATTCAAACACACCGTATCTCATAATTTGTTTTCACATATCTTTTTTAGTAATTTTTTTTAATTTTAACATCAAAATAATATGTTTAATTAAAAGTGTTTTTTACATACCATATCCAAATGCAAAATACTTCCTTTCAGAGGCGGACCTACATGGGGCTAGAGTGGGCCTCCGCCTCCCTCTAAAATATGAAAATATGTTCTACCATATGATATGCAACATGGTCTAAAAAAGCAAAATTTTGAAAGTGCTTTTAAAAAGTGAAAGACAAGCGATGATATTCATAAGAAAAGTGTTACACATGTTCACTACACCCAATTAGAGATAACTATTATTTACCATATTCAACCTGCTAGCATATATGGCAGGTTTTGTTCTTGGTCTGCTATCCTCCCCAGTCAATATGAAAAGTTAGCTTTTCCGTTGTATACAAAGAAGAGTTCACTTAGTAATGAATATTTACTCTACTTGTCAAATTTGTCTAGAATTTGATTTTA